AGTAAAGGTTTGGGATATGACTGGGTGTCACTATGCAGTAAAGGTTTGGGATATGATTGGGTGTCACTATGCAGTAAAGGTTTGGGATATGATTGGGTGTCACTATGCAGTAAAGGTTTGGGATATGACTGGGTGTCACTATGCAGTAAAGGTTTGGGATATGATTGGGTGTCACTATGCAGTAAAGGTTTGGGATATGATTGGGTGTCACTATGCAGTAAAGGTTTGGGATATGATTGGGTGTCACTATGCAGTAAAGGTTTGGGATATGATTGGGTGTCACTATGCAGTAAAGGTTTGGGATATGACTGTGTGTCACTATGCAGTAAAGGTTTGGGATATGACTGGGTGTCACTATGCAGTAAAGGTTTGGGATATGATTGACCGGTGTCACTATGCAGTAAAGGTTTGGGATATGATTGGGTGTCACTATGCAGTAAAGGTTTGGGATATGACTGGGTGTCACTATGCAGTAAAGGTTTGGGATATGATTGGGTGTCACTATGCAGTAAAGGTTTGGGATATGATTGGGTGTCACTATGCAGTAAAGGTTTGGGATATGATTGGGTGTCACTATGCAGTAAAGGTTTGGGATATGATTGGGTGTCACTATGCAGTAAAGGTTTGGGATATGATTGGGTGTCACTATGCAGTAAAGGTTTGGGATATGACTGGGTGTCACTATGCAGTAAAGGTTTGGGATATGACTGTGTGTCACTATGCAGTAAAGGTTTGGTATATGACTGTGTCACTATGCAGTAAAGGTTTGGGATATGACCGGGTGTCACTATGCAGTAAAGGTTTGGGATATGATTGGGTGTCACTATGCAGTAAACTTTTGGGATATGACTGTGTGTCACTATCAAGTTGGCGTTTGGCATATGATTTGGTGTCACTATGGAGTTGACGTTTGGGATATTACTGGGTGTTATAGAGTCTGTTTCAATGAATGCAGCCTACCAGGAGGCGTGGTTGAATCAAGTATTAGGTAGTTGTTAGTGTAGGCCATCTGATGGTGTAGTGTAGAACGTGATGTCAACCCTCCGATTGTGTTTTAAATATACTAAATGGTTACACCCTTTCTTGGTAGGTCACGTGGTTGGTTGCCGAATGTACATTAATTCGGCCGTGTCCATGGACGTTTAACATACTGCGTTTGGGAGGAGGAGGGGGGCAGGGTCGAAAGAAATCAGAGTTGTGGATTACATTTGCCTAATTCAGCTTCTGTCGGGGCCTAGCTCACAGTAACACAATAACGTTATCAGGGACCAGCAACTTCCTCAGACCAGACCGTTGTGTAACGCAATTGTGCGAAACATGCAGTACTATTCAGACAATGCCACATTTATTCCGGAGATAAAATTAAACAGAATTTCCTGTAATTGAGAATCAAATGATGCAGCATTTCCCGAGAGTGCAAAGTGCTGCGTGAGCTGGGGTTATCACATCCTAGAATAATCGGCCCTGGTTCTGTAGACTTGAAACATCTCTGTGACACTGAGAACGCCCCGGTGTCGGAGAGGAATCTCCAAACAAAATGGTGAGCTTGTCTCGGATACGACAGTATTTCGTTGACTTACTCTTGCTACGCAACTATCACCACTCATTAAACTAGTTCTGTGACTAGACACGCGAAATCTTATACAGTGCACGCCCTCGAGGCTCCCGACGCATGCGCGAGTTTGTCCATTGTCACAGCAACCTTCATCAAAAACGTTCCATTATCACTGCAGCGGAATTCATTTAGTTTTAGGAGACTCACTTCTCTAATGTAATTGAATTTCTTGGTGTGACTCTGCCTTCTGTTGTTGGTTAGCAGGTGCGGTCAGCTCATTAATAAGTGCGATGTACTGATGACTTTCCGTTTAGATCAGTTGCCAGTACGCTTTATTGGCAAGAAACACATTAATAACTTCTTATCATCGTTTGAAATATCTGAATACACTAGGTTATATTGCTGAACAGTGAACCCTTACATGTGTGGAGAGCTATTGACTGCAAGGCCAAGAGTAATATCTGTGAAAGTGATATTCACCGTGACTACTTTAGACGTACATTGTGTTACACGACACTGTATGTATGATAATATACCTGTGATAGAAGGGTACTTCGTGTTACACGACACTGTATGAATGATAATGTATCTGTGATAGAAGGAGGCACTGTGTTTACACGACACTGTATGAATGATAATATACCTGTGATAGAAGGGTACCTCGTGTTACACGACTCTGTATGAATGATAAAGTATCTGTGACAGAAGCAGGCCCTGGGTTTACACGACACTGTATGAATGATAATATACCTGTGATAGAAGGGTACCTCGTGTTACCCGACACTGTATAAATGATAATGTACCTGTGATAGAAGGGTACCTCGTGTTACACGACACTGTATGAATGATAATGTACCTGTGATAGAAGGGGACACTGTGTTACACGACACTGTATGAATGATAATATACCTGTGATAGAAGGGTGCAATGTGTTGTGTGTCTCAACGTAATATTGGCGGCATACACCTTCTGCTCAACAAAATCGGAATAAAGCTTGGGTCATTACCCTTGTCAGTCTCACAGTCCCTGGGCCTAGATTATTTTAGCTCTCTTAGAGCTAAGATAGTCGTAAGTGCCATACATTAACATTAACTTACGATCTTAGCTCCAAGAGAGCTTCGAAAATCTAGGCCCTGAACCATATTATTTTCCCTACAGCCTAGCCCTCTCTGCAATGCTGTTTAGCCCAAAATGAAGCAAGTCTAGATTTACTCAGGTTCTGAATTTCTGGTCACCCTGGGGCTCCTTTTCAAAATGGGTTTGTTTGTTGCTATCAAAATTATATATATTCAGACATTTAGCGTTAGTTGTTATTGTTACCTGTACATAATCACATATACAGTGAATTCCTGCTACATGAGCGTGTACGACGGGCGATCAAAAAGTATGTAGAATCACCAAGAAAACGATACAAATGCAGTTATTTATTTGTTTTAGTTTGTATATATTATCTGTCAAGCTCAAGTAATTTGGTTTTGCTATGTTCCAGTCTCACGGTCCCCGTTTTGTTTGACCTTTTATCTTGTTACCCTAAAAAAATGCAAAATCTACAATAAATGCATCAAAAACTTCAGGAAACAAAATATGCAAGAAATATTTTGTGTGTTTGAGATTGATAGAAGTCAACTTGAATCACACTTAGATATTAAAGTTTATAAAAAAAAACAATTTGAAATTACAATCGCGTGTTAAAGTGACTCCCCCCTTCATGTTGACTGAAAGAGCTTGTTTTGGAGACACTACCCATCTCCCTTTCAGATGACGTAATCATAACGGCATAGCTTATTCTAGTGTTTTCACTTATGCATACATGATGCCAAGGGTTCAAACCAAATACTGAATGGTCACACAAGTGTCAGCTTACAATATATTGTAAACAGTGCCAGCTTGAATATCTTGACACAATGTGTCCTTACAAAATAGCCCCCGACTAAATATAAAGCAGGCAGTCCAAATCTTTGACTGTTGATCATGACGGGAAGTCATCCAATACTATACTGAACATATTTTATGACATTATCTCAGGGCATACCATTATCCAAGAGGTACCCAAAGACAAATCGTTTTTCATTTTCTGCAATTTTGTTTTTGCAATACCCCAATGCCTTGTGATGACACATATCTGGTTAACCACATTGCCCACACATGTGAAATTTGGGATATGGCATTGCTAACGATTCCGTCAAAATAAAATGAAAGCTTTTCGACCCTCGTAACTATCTACATGGGCCTGTAACTATCTACATGGGCCTGTAACTATCTACATGGGCCTGTAACTATCTACAGTGACGTGTTTATCAATGTAATACTACAGTGATGTGTGTACACATTAGTATATTGATCTGGTTCTCAAAGTATGTATGTTGCTCTGTCAGCATTGGGGCTGGTGTTGTTGCTTGATGATGATGGTGATGGTGTGATTTAACGTGCGCCTTCCAACATATTGCTGTTGCTTGACTTGTTGTTCAACCTGTTGTTTGACTGACACGGAAAGTCTTAGTTAAGTCTTGTAAAGCCTGTGACATCCCCAATCTGCCATCTGCAGTACATCATGCAGGCTATTGTCTACAAGAGCTCCACTCAAGGTGTCGGCTCCAAGTATTATCCCCTTACACTATTTAAGCTACGGATTAGATAGCTATAAAAATTCAAAGAATTGAAACACACTTGTCTTTCAGTAATACGTATAAAATCTACTCCAGTCGTCTAGGTTTAATATCGACATAAGACTGAAACAACCGGTCTCGCTTTCTGTGTTGACACAAGTTCTTAGCAGACGCCCGCAGAGTACAATAGCTTATTCTTAAACCCAAACAAAACAACACCTACTGTACGACCCACAATAGATAATCCCCGGGGCTAGTGCACCCGCCCCCTCCCCACCCGTCCTTGTCTGGAAGTGCTGATTGATAGCAACTACCCGTTTCCCCTCTTCTATTGTTTTGACCCGAGTGTTGCTAATCCCGAATGTAACAACCCCCTGTGTGTGTCCCCATATAAAGGAGAAGCTGGTCGGACTTCACCACCACATGTCCAGCACTTGACCACGGCGAGAGATAGATACACGGAGAACTTCCGTTTTCTAGCTGAACGTAAGTAACTTACTGCCCGTTTTTAGAACATTTGGTCACGACCCTAGTAAACCCTGGTCAGCTGTACATATAGATAATGCTGATAGATTAATACTGCATTCGTACAACATCTAGTATCCTGATCCCACTGTTACTTGTGCAAGGTTTATCCTGTACCCAGTAACACCTGTAACCTGCATTGATATGTTCAAGTATGTTCAAATATACTGTGAATGTTACATGTCACATGACGTACAAACCAGTTAACTGTGGTGGTTTCACATATCGAGCATATCACATCTAAGCATAATTCAATGAAATGTGAGTTGCATTACAACGTATTCTTCGATGTACCCGGGTTGTATTTACTGAGGGAGGCTATTTTGGGGAGCGTATCTCCTATGAATATTTTCATTGGCGCGAAAGGTAGTAATTTGCAAGGTCGTGACCCCGTGGCCTACGCAACATAGCGCGTGGTGCGGCGAAGTAGGTCATGTGATTTCAAGAAGTTTAGGTGGATGTGAGGGAGGTGCTGGCTTCATTTGTTGATAGCAATCAATTGTGATATGAACTCCAGTGAGTGGACTGTTGGTTGTACAGATGTGTACGGTGATGTCGGGGCCGTCGAGGGAGGAGTGTGTCCCCGTGTCAGCCATTACAGAAGTGGGATAGTTGATACAACACGTGGCCACAACACCAGGACGCTTTTACTGGGATAGACATCTGAGGATGACACACATGGCTAGCTGTCGGCCCCTCACAGACAGGTATGTCCACGCAGTCCGCCCTGCAGGCTTGACCTGTCGCCCTGTACATCACCTGTACTTGCCTACAGATACGCGTCTTACAAAAGTACCTTTTGGAAAACTATGTTTCTTCAACTATTTTAGTTTTTTCCTCTTTTCATGTTATACATGTGTGACTGTACGATGTCGTCTCGCCAGGACGACTTTCTGAACTTACAGGTATTCGACTGGACTTCATAATGGTTCACTGTTTGGACTACTGTTTCTGCTTAATACGCAGGACAGGGCGCTGGTGCTAGTGGCTGTACGAGGTCGCCAGATGTTACCGCCTATTTAAGGCACATCGACAGCTGTGTGTTTGGGTATTAAATATCAGTCGATTATAGGGGCATTCACTTGAATCAGCTATTGTTAGACAGGTTTATAGACCTCCGCTGAAGCTGGTCGACGTCACCTCGGGTTAGGACTATGAAGCGGTTCAGTTCACACGGCAAGGTCGATGCCTTGATGTGCTGAAGAGGGGAGAGGTTCATAAACCAAATTACGTCACGGTAGAGGTCGTCTAACGTTGTGTCGTCTCGCGGACTGATTACCGGTGTGACAATCCTCAAGGGCCACTGTGTGATGTGTCCTCCTAGAGGTAAACTCACTGGCGTATTGATTTCTATATGGATTGAATTGACAGACACGACCCCTAAATTATCAGCCCATGCAGCATACAGGACAGTTGTAATGCACGTCGCATCAGCTACTAGGTTTCCCACACTGACCGGGGTGAAGCGATAGCCGGGAGCTGTTCCCACGTCATTAATTGTAGTCCGTCCCCTATAACCCAGTCAAGGGGGATGTGGGTATTGAGGGGCCGTAAACTCCCCTTTCCTGTAGCCGCGGGCGGGTCACCGCTGGACTTCCCCGCAGGACCAATGCCCATATATATGACAAGTTGATGGAAGGTTGACATGTTGATTGTACACATATACCATTTCTCCTTTTCAGTTGCCCGACACGGTCGGAAGTTTCTACCGGAAGTACGTACTTCTAAAATGGTGTTTCAGCCAGCTGTGTCACGTGATCCACAACATCTCGTACTACATGATCACGTTTCCTTGTCACTGTTTCGTCCCGTGTGTTAAGCGAGACTGGACGGAAAACTGATAAGGGCACGTGTTGTGTTAAACTTCCTTGGCGTCGTCCTCACCAACTATTTCACCTCCTTCCGGTCTTGTGCTTGGCATCTGACTGTCCAATGACCAAGCTGCATTCCAAATCACAGCCAATCAGATACAGTGCTGATGGTTTCAACCGTCCGATGACGTGGCTATGGCGGATGTCACCTTCACCTTCAGGGATGGACATATATAGGAGCGCAGTGCGCAGGACAGGACGTTGCGGTGCCGGGAGGTGGAATATTGCAGTTAATGCATGACTGAGTGAATTCATTCACCGTAACCACTGACGCATGGCCTGTTGCACTTTGGTAATTATAGTTTCAATGCATGTGATATACTATGTTATTTTCACGCACGTCACAACGTCTTAATTTCATTACAAGTTTTTGTCACCATGTCTTATATTCAGCTGTATGGGGCCACATACCAATGTAGCTTTCGCCTACCCAGTGTGTGTGGCTCGGTGTCAGCCCCCTGGCCTGCTCCCACTGTCTCACAAACATCCCCAGCCAGATAGTCAATAAGTACGGTGAGAGGGGAGCCCCCTGTCTCCCCCCATGTGATGTGTACAGACACGTCGCCGACAACCTGCTAACACCAGCCGCGGAGAAACCGCAACATTAATATATGGATCATTCCAAGGGAGGTAACTAGGACAAAGGTAAAAATGTGTTATCTTTCCCTATCTCTTATGTACTCATCTTCCCAGCACGAAACCCGGGTGTATTATATTCGCCTGTCAGCTCTCCTTGTTAAACTGATCACTCTTTCATGTTGGGACCAGCTACTGTCACTGGCTGTGTCTATACTTGTCATGGGAGGTGGATGTTCAGCCTTCCCTCTCCACCATACTGGGAGCACGTTACAATGTAGGTCAGTTCACTGACACTCCCAGTCGAATGTCGACATACACTACCAAGCTCGATTCAGACATTGTTAGGTGAGTAATATACCATTATGTACTAGGGTTCCACCCCTCACTTAACCCAATATCTCTGCCTCTCAAACACCTCAATATTCTAACCCATCAAAATCACAGACCCATTCACCCCCCCAACCCCAACCCCCCAACCCAATCCCATTTCACGTAACGGTCTCTCGCCCACCAGACCCTGCAAAACAAACCCACAACCATATCCTTCACATCCCCACCTCCAGTCCACATGACTGGAGCAACCGTCCATTTCCTCCGATCCCCACCAGGAAATCAGCTAATCAGGCACCAAACAGCCCACTAACCCAAGTCCTTTTAGTGGTTATATCCTCGATGCTGAACTTGATTGAGTCTTAAGAGTTTGCCTATTGTCACAAACGTTTTACTTTCCTAGATTTGAACCCGCCTGAGGATTGACCACGCCCAGGATCTACCCACAGCTGGTTCAGATGTCACCGGCCGTCCTCAGGCGACTACAGACGACTCCAGTCAACTCGGCCTCTGCTTGTACACCTTATCAGTTTTTCGTCCAATAATTTGTGTGACTGCATGTTTGTGTGATTGCATGCATGCCTGTGCGAGTTTTGTTGTGAGTTCGGGTGTTGAGATTTTATGAACGCTTGGTGACAGTCCTGGGTGTGTGCGATTTCAGGTGTCGTGGGGTGGAAGCGGGTGGCGACGGTCGACATCATATCACCAATTTCACGTTTCCTTGTCACTTGTTCGTCCCGTGTGCTACTGGTCACTGGACGGAGAACTGATAAGGGCTTGTGGGTGACCAACCGGCGGAATGACCAAAGCCTATTTCTACCGAAGTCACAATGAGAGCGGATACCCCGTGCCCCGCTGCTGGTACACGATGCCGCGCCTGTCTCCTGTATTAATCGCACTTGACAAGTACACTGATAAATAAACGTTACCTTAACTTTGGTGTTCAAATTTATATATTGTCTTGTAATTTTTGTAAATGACATCCCGCGCGGCTTTAAGGTCCTTCCATAGACTGCGAATATCTGCTTACCAGTGCAGAGAGTTTATTGTATAAAACAAGAAGAATTTATTCTTGATTTTTCAGTCTCGTCCCCTTAGTAAACAAAAGGCAACAGTATTCTGTCCACGTTCACAAGAAATATCGGTCAAGTGTCGATTGCACGACTACGTCTATATCATTAGCGCTTTCAAAGTGATATCAAGTGTTGCTGAAAGGTGAGCGTATCCTGCTCCACGTCACAAACAAATGTTACGGTCAATCAGGTCATAAGCTGAAACATGAACATGAAACATAGTATTTGTGACTGACACGTCGTCAAACTGGGAAATGTTCTCCACATTGTTGCTAATAAAACTGTAGCCTAACCCCAACCGGCGGGCACACCACACGCGTATGAGGCGACACCTGTAGGTGCGCACCAACACACGGGGGGCTCAGATACACAGTACCACTGTAGGCGTCAACCAACACAGTAGGCACAGTACCCACTGTAGGCGTGCGCCAACACACAGCAGACACAGTACCCACTGCAGGCGTGCACCAACACACGGCAGACACATATACACAGTACCCACTGCAAGCGTGCACCTACACACAGCAGGCACATTTACACAGTACCCACTGCAGGCGTGCACTAACACATAGCAGACACAGATACCCAGTACCCACTGTAGGCGTGCACCAACACACAGATACACAGTACTCATTGTAGCCGTGCACCAACACACAGCAGGCACAGATACACAGTAGCCACTGTAGGCGTGCACCAACACACAGCAGGCACAGATACACAGTACTCACTGTAGGCGTGCACCAACACACAGCAGGCACAGATACACAGTAGCCACTGTAGGGTTGCACCAACACACAGCAGACACAGATACACAGTAGCCACTGTAGGGTTGCACCAACACACAGCAGGCACAGATACACAGTAGCCACTGTAGGGTTGCACCAACACACAGCAGGAACAGATACACAGTAGCCACTGTAGGGTTGCACCAACACACAGCAGGCACAGATACACAGTAGCCACTGTAGGGTTGCACCAACACACAGCAGGCACAGATACACAGTACCCACTGTAGGCGTGCACCAACACAGCAGGCACAGATACACAGTAGCCACTGTAGGGTGCACCACACACAGCACCAACACAGCAGCGTGGACAGATACACAGTACCCACTGTAGGGTTGCACCAACACACAGCAGGCACAGATACACAGTAGCCACTGTAGGGTTGCACCAACACACAGCAGACACAGATACACAGTACCAAATGTAGGCGTCACCAACACAGCAGACACAGATACACAGTACCCACTGTAGGCGTGCATTAACACAGAGCAGGCACAGATACACAGTACCCACTGTAGGCATGCACCAACACAGAGCAGGCACAGATACACAGTAGCCACTGTAGGGTTGCACCAACACACAGCAGACACAGATACACAGTACCAAATGTAGGCGTCACCAACACAGCAGACACAGATACACAGTACCCACTTTAGGCGTGCATTAACACAGAGCAGGCACAGATACACAGTACCCACTGTAGGCATGCACCAACACAGAGCAGGCACAGATACACAGTAACCACTGTAGGCGTGCACCAACACACAGCAGGCACAGATACACAGTAACCACTGTAGGCGTGCACCAACACACAGCAGGCACAGATACACAGTAACCACTGTAGGCGTGCACCAACATACAGCAGGCACAGATACACAGTACCCACCGTAGGCGTGCACAAACACACAGCAGGAACAGATACATAGTACCAACTGCAGACGTGCACCAACACACAGCAGGCACAGATACACAGCACCCACTGCAAACGTGCACCAACACACAGCAGGCATAGATACACAGCAGCCACTGTAGGCGTGCACCAACACACAGCAGGAACAGATACACAGTACCCACTGTAGGCGTGCACAAACACACAGCAGGAACAGATACATAGTACCAACTGCAGACGTGCACTAACACACAGCAGACACAGATACACAGTACCCACTGTAGGCGTGCACCAACACACAGCAGGAACAGACACATAGTATCCACTGTAGGCGTTCACTAACACACAGCAGACACAGATACACAGTACCCACTGTAGGCGTGCACCAACACACAGCAGGCACAGATACACAGCACCCACTGCAAACGTGCACCAACACACAGCAGAAACAGATACACAGTGCACACTGTAGGCTGGCACCAGCACAGCAGGCACAGATACACAGTACCCAATGCAGGCGTGCACCAACACACAGCAGAAACAGATACACAGTGCACACTGTAGGCGTGCACCAACACACAGCAGGCACAAATACACAACACCCACTGTAGGCTGGCACCACCACAGCTGACACAGACACACGGTACCCACTGCAGGCGTGCAGAAACACACAGCAGGCACAGATACACAGCACCCACTGTAGGCTGGCACCAGCACAGCAGGCACAGATACACAGTACCCAATGCAGGCGTGCACCAACACAGCAGACACAGATACACACAGTACACACTGCAGGCGTGCACCAACACACAGCAGGCAACAGATACACAGCGCCCACTGTAGGCGTGCACCAACACAGCAGACACAGACACACGGTACCCACTGCAGGCGTGCAGAAACACACAGCAGGCACAGATACACAGTACCCACTGTAGGCGTGGCACCAACACAGCAGGCACAGATACACGGTACCCACTGTAGGCGTGCACCAACACACAGCAGGCACAGATACACAGTACCCACTGTAGGCGTGCACCAACACACAGCAGGCACAGATACATAGTACCCACTGTAGGCGTGCACCAACACACAGCAGGCACAGATACACAGTACCCACTGTAGGCGTGCACCAACATACAGCAGGCACAGATACACAGTACCCACTGTAGGCGTGCACCAACACACAGCAGGCACAGACACATAGTAGCCACTGTAGGCGTGCACCAACACACAGCAGGCACAGATACACAGTACCCACTGTAGGCGTGCACCAACACACAGCAGGCACAGATACACATTAGCCACTGCAGGCGTGCACCAACACACAGCAGGCACAGATACACAGTACCCACTGCAGGCGTGCACCAACACACAGCAGGCACAGATACACATTACCCACTGTAGGCGTGCACCAACACACAGCAGGCACAGATACACAGTACCCACTGTAGGCGTGCACCAACACACAGCAGGCACAGATACATAGTACCCACTGTAGGCGTGCACCAACACAGCAGACACAGATACACAGTACCCACTGTAGGCGTGCACCAAAACACAGCAGGCACAGATACACAGTACCCACTGTAGGCGTGCACCATCACACAGCAGGCACAGATACACAGTACACACTGCAGGCGTGCACCAACACACAACAGGCACAAATACACAACACCCACTGTAGGCTGGCACCACCACAGCTGACACAGATACACGGTACCCACTGCAGGCGTGCAGAAACACACAGCAGGCACAGATACACAGCACCCACTGTAGGCTGGCACCAGCACAGCAGGCACAGATACACAGTACCCACTGCAGGCGTGCACCAACACAGCAAGCACAGATACACAGTACCCAATGCAGGCGTGCACCAACACACAGCAGAAACAGATACACAGCGCCCACTGTAGGCGTGCACCAACACAGCAGACACAGATACACAGTACCCACTGCAGGCGTGCACCAACACACAGCAGGCACAGATACACGGTACCCACTGTAGGCGTGCACCAACACACAGCAGGCACAGATACACAGTACCCACTGTAAGCGTGGACCAACACACAGCAGGCACAGATACATAGTACCCACTGTAGGCGTTCACCAACACAGAGCAGGCACAGATACACAGCACCCACTGTAGGCTGGCACCAGCACAGCAGGCACAGATACACAGTACCCACTGCAGGCGTGGACCAACACACAGCAGGCACAGATACATAGTAGCCACTGTAGGCGTGCACCAACATACAGCAGACACAGATACACAGTACCCACTGTAGGCGTGCACCAACACACAGCAGGCACAGATACACAGTACCCACTGTAGGCTGCAGCACCAGCACAGCAGGCACAGATACACCGTACCCACTGTAGGCGTGCACCAACACACAGCAGACACAGATACACAGTACCCGATGTAGGCGTGCATCAACACACAGCAGGCACAGATACATCGTAACCACTGTATACGTGCACCAACACACTGCAGGCGTAGATTCACCAATACGTTTTTGAAAATTCGAGGCAATGAGCGCAGATAGTCAGTAAATAACTGCATTTATTATCCATATGGTGAAACACATAACCAGTGCCACAAATGTCATATGTGCACATGTGCCTAGCAACCATTGTTTCAGTATTTCGTCGTCTGTGACGTCATTAAACAATGCATCGTGACGTCAATTAACAGGGCAGTCACACTAAGCTGGTTCCTGGCTCCCTTTGCGAGCGTAACGTATATTTGCGATATCCGAGACGGGGCCCACCTTATAGTCTCACTTTCTTACCGGGTTTTACTGCACAAATGTACATGAATAAAACGGATAATAAAGAAGTTATTACACTCGAGCAAGTGTGTCATATGACTTATACGAAACACGTGCAAAATATGTATTTCACACTCGTTTCGTATAAGTAGTTTGACACACATGCTCGTGTAATAATGTCTATGCCTGCACTGGTGCGGACAACTTTTGCACAGTTTATAATGTTGCAGATGTCTGTCAAATGCTTACATATAGCAAGAAACTCACAAACACGTAATGGCTGTACACTGATTCCTGGATACCCACAGACACGTGGGGCCGACACATGTGGCACATATCACATCTGACATGTAGGGGTTGCAGATATCTGTAGAAACATAACATGCTGAAACCAGAAGTCCACAAACGCCTAAAGGCTGTGCATTGCAAGATA